ATCACCTTGGATCCTTTCAGGATCAGTGGAGAGAGGGGATGAGCAAGTATCAGCTCCCTCGAGACAAAAGAGGGAAAATATGGTAACCAAATATGCTTGTAGACTACCCAGTTGTCTGCCCCCATGGAAGCAGCAGCATGAGGTGTCTGAAAACAAAAAGCAAAGCAAAAGCAAAACAGTCTAGGTACTAATATCAGCTCTCCAAGATTACCTTCTCGGTTTCTTCATTTGGATTAAGACATTAGATCTCAAACCTGCTTGATCATTAAAACCATCGGCAGGAATTAGACTTCTGGGTCTAACCCATCATGATTCTACTTCGGTCCCCCTGGTTGAAGCCTATAGCCTACTAAATTACAGTGGTGTTTTTGAGCCTGCTTTGAAGAATTGACTGTTCTCAAAGAAAAGGCATTTCCTTCTCTATTAGAGTTCCCCCATCCTTACTGGTCTGCAGGGAGAGGTGATGCTCAGGCTGAAGGTTGCTCTGAAACTCTTTTAGAAGTCATTAAAGAACATAAAATGTGAATGAGGAAAGAGATCCTTAGAAGCTGAGGTTAAATTGGCAGTTGCACGATCCCCCAGATTAGAACTTGGTAAAGTCACAGGAGTCTTTCCTTTTAGTACTTTATGCTTAGGGCTCAGCTCCTTGTAAAATCTGAGCAGAAGAACTGCCTTGGTTTTAATGGAGAATGATGACATCCAGGAATCATCATGTGCTTTCCAGGTATGCACTTGTTCTACAGTAACATCTGAGAAGAGCACAGGAAGGTGGGCTCAGGGCCAGAGATGACCCCAGGCAGCCACTGATATTATGCTGGGATCAGACCCTGGGTTGCAACAATGCAGATGATGAAGTGGGTGATATGGTATTGTTACTGATCTTACTCATCTAAAAAGCAGCTGCCATCCAGGAAATCCTACTTACATTCATGGGAGGAGGGTGAATGGGCCACAGAAAAGAGGACCCTGGAGATAATGAATCCTCTGGAGGATATAAACATTGCTGCATTACTTGTCAGGAAAAAGAATGTGCTCTAAGGCAGACCTTGAAATAACATGTAGCTGCCCTCTTTGCAAATGTTCCCAGTGGGCAACAAAATGTGTTCAGAGTTAAAAATTCCACAAATGATGATTAGCAGTTCTTCCCGGAAGCTTGTTTTCATCACAGAGCCATTTGAGAATAGGAAAGAAAACACGAAATTCGAGGCAACATCATAGTATCATGACAGACTGAAATTCCACTTTGGGTTTTAAAAGCCATTTTATTTTACTTGTAAATACATTTTTATAAGGAGAAAATAAAACTTAAAATGCATTACTAATTTTAAGAATATCTGCACAGACTTTTTTATAGTTTGAGTTAATTACAGCAATTTGAATGATGCCAAAGTGAAGTAATTCTCAGCAAGGTTGATGGGTAAAATCAGCCTTCTAAGACAAACATAGTTTACAACACTCAGTGAACAAATATTTCAGCTTTCTGCAATAAACATTTAATAATTGGAGGTCTCATAATAAATCATCAGTTTTAGTGTTTCACATCGATAGTCCCTGGAACATTTAAAACAAACCTTACAATGTTATGAGAAAATTCTTTGCCCTTTTAGAAAACAGACAGAAAATTTCAATTTTATGGTAAAATATACACCATACTTTCAGAACTGGCTTAGTTTAAAGTAATAGTTTTGCAAGTATTCACTTATCTTTTTCTCATTTGACTGTCAAGATAAAATATTCTCAGTGCATCTGTGTTAAAATTCCCTATTCTTCAAAGGTTCTTCATTGACTTCTAACTGAGCTTATGGCTTCCAGCCAAGACTGGGTCAAAGACTCTGTCAGTGACAGAGGTGAATCTGTGACTTGACTAAGAGTCACAGGTTTAACAAGAACTGATTGGGAATGTATGATTCATCACGTACAAGCTCTGTGCCAGATGAGTGAGTAAGGCCATGAGAAGTGAAGGAAACCAATAGTTCCTGCCCTTGGGAAGCTTACAGCTGGTGGCACACGCATGATGTAACATAGGGAACTTGAAAGAACAATTCCAAGACTGTCTATATACATAGTCTTGGCTGCCTGGAGTACTATGTTTGGGGGAATAGGTCCCTCTAGAGTGCCAGCCAGTCAACTCAACCATCTGGAGACAATTTGGAAAAGCCATGAAGAGCTGAAAATCTTTTTTATTTTGTGTTCCAATTTGTCAATTTTTTTTGAGCACCTGTCATATTCAGGACACTGGAAATACAGAAAAAGAACAGAGGGCACACACTCTGTGCATAGGCTGAGAGCAAAGGGAATTAACTGGATGACTTTTTCTGGAGATTTTCAAGCCGTGCATGGTTCAGCTCTTAGACTATGCATACGTCAACTGAAAGGTGGGAAACACACTGCCTTGTTTCTGTGAGTCAGGACCATGGCATTTATTTTCTGAACTGTTGTCAGTCTCCCTCCCTGCTAGTTCTCCCTGCTTCCTCCATTCTTGTCCCAT